TTAGATGCTTGACCAATCAGATAAATGTTGTGTAATTTCCTGATGCTCACCAATTTAAATAAGTAATTTACATATATAAATATTTTTTCTGAAGTGCACACATTGTGTGTTACAGGAATCTCACTTTGCCACTGAGAAGGACAAGATTACTGTAAGTAGATTCTGATTCCAATAAATCCAGTATAAATTGTGATTCTTCAGAAGCTCTGAATATGACTTAGAAGAAGCAATAATTGAAATGCAGTTTTGACCACTTCAGTTAAATTTTTTCACCTAGTTATATCCCCAGCTAATTTTTCAGCTTAACATTTAAGTGCTTTTTTGAGTAACCCTGAACACTGGGAAAGGAGTGCTGGACTATATTTGCAAGGGCTCAGTACTGTGTGAAGCCACCTGTGTGGCATCTGCTCTGGAGCTTGTTAGTGTATAGATGTTTAGAAGCACAAAGAGATCAGATGTGCAGTTTTCTACAACCTGCACAGGCATATCTTTAAAAAATCCTTTTTCTTTACTGCTGTGAGTTAAATAAGAAACACTAGTACAATTGCATAAGTTTCAGTGGGTGTCTGGCCATATCATTGTTCATTGAAAACGTAAAGATAGAAAGTATTCCTGGAAGTATTTGTATTATATGTGTGCATTACAGTAAAAGCATTTAGTCCTTCAGAGAACCTGTTTTTTGAGTTTTTACTGGCAGCTCATTTTTATCATGCTTCTGCAGTTCATAGATCTTTTTTAGAGAATTTTCTTAGAATTTGCTTTTAGAAAAACACTGAAGTTTGCATGCATTAAGGATTTTAGAGCATTTATGTACCAGAATTCCACCTGCATAAATACATACATGTACACTGCAGCCAAATGTCTGTTAGAAAATTGGTATCATCTTGTAGAGGAGAAAAAAACACGGCACAGTGTAGTTACAAAGTTATATAACAGAAGTCTGAAGGTAAAGCCAAAACCTGACTATGAGGATGTTTATCAAATTGCCATTTTTGTGGGGAATACTTGGCAAGTCTTGGGGAAGATCCTCTGAAACTTTTAAAAGTACTTTTAAGAATAATTTTATATGTCTGGTTGACAACCCTTAAAAATACTATTTTGTCTTACCTTTATTTCAGAGTTCCAACTTGCATTCCAGTTTCTTTTGTATCCTATTATGTGGTCTTTGTATTTTCCTTGTAGAAAATATTGTGTCTCCACAAAGATCATTAAAATACTGAGACGCTTTCTTCACTTAAATTTTACAGAGTAGGTTTGAGATTACCAAAAATGTTTAGTACTTTTCCTAAACTTCTCTTAGAGAAAAATATAGGCAATAAACACAAGAGGAAAACCACTCGAAGGTCTTAGAAAGTTCTCACCAGAATAGGAAGGTCAGTTGTGCAGTGAAGGACCCAACTGAAAGGTGATGGATTAACTGGTACTCTGTCTTGCCCTGTGCCTCAAATGATGAAAAATGAAAAGGAGGCTGAGGGGAGACCTTACCGCTCCTCACAGCTACCCAAAAGGAGGTTGTAGCGAGGTGAGTGTTGGTCTCTTCTCCCAAGTTATAAGTGATGAGACGAGAGAAAACAGCTTCAAGTTGCACCAGGGGAGGTTCAGATTGAATATTAGGGAAAATTTCTTCACTGAAAGGGTTGTTGAGCATTGGAACAGGCTGCCCAGGGAAGTGGTCGAGTCACCATCCCTGGAGGTATTTAAAAGATATGTAGATGTGGTGCTTACAGACATGGTTTAGTGGTGGACTTGGCTGTGCTAGGTTTATGATTGGACTTGATCTTAAAGGTCCTTTCCCACCTAAAGAATTCTATGATTCTGTGATCATATGTGGACTCTACTGTGTGTAATCCAAAATTGTATCCAAAATAGCTGTTAGCTCTAAAGTATGCATACTGGAATAATTTGGTACGAAAGCTCTTTGGTGTATTTGCAATGAAATTTAATTATTTTGTAAACTAGAACTTGCATTATTAATAAGTTGAAATGGTCACAGAAATAAGTTCAAGTGTTTGTATTATAGTTGATAGGTGAGTTTATTTCTGAAACAGCTTGGAAATGGGAGGTAATTTAGAAATGCAAATTTAAACCCAACTGAATAATTGCTGTATGGGACTTGTTCCCATTCTTTCAAAGGAAGATTTTAAATTGTGGTATGTTTGAGACTTTTTTTTTTCTCAAAGTAAAAGCAAAAAAAGGTAACATCTAAAACAAAACTTTCTACTGCTGCTAGTTTTGTCCCCTCCTCATGCCCCAGGTCATGAGAGACACGGGAACATTGAGGAGGGTTTAGTGAAGGGCCACCAAGGTGATGTAAAGGGTTGGGGAACTTAACCTATTGGTGGAGCTGGGTTTGTTGAGTTTGAAGAGGGGAGAGTTCTGAGGAGGGGAATCTAATCCCAGCCTATCTGAAAGGAAGCTGTAGAGAAGATGTAGGTAGCTGTCTTCATGAGGGTGCACAGGGACAGGGCAAAAGGCAACAGGCTCAGGTTGCTTCAGGGGAAATTCTGTCTTGATAAAAAACCAAACAATTCTGTACCATAAGAACAGTAATACACAGGAATAAGTTGCCCAGAGAAGGGGTGAAAGACTCTGCTTGACTGGGCCATGAGTAACCTAGCGTAAGGCTCTGTTTTTGAAAGAAGATTGGACCAGATGATCTCCAGAGGTCCTTTCCAACCTAAAGTTTTCTATGATTCTGTGAATCTATCTCTGATAGTCAAGCAAATATGGAGAAATGCACTAGGCAGGCAGTGGTACTGCTATTAATTTGTGGATAATAATTGTCCTGGCTTCTCTAATTTGATCCATTCCTCAGAGCAAAGCAACTGCACTGTATTAAGAAGGAAATGGGAGGGTTGGGCATTTCAGGAGAAAGCGGTGGCTGAGCTTTTCAGAGGAGCAATGTGATGGACGGCTGAAGTGGAGGGGAAAGTACTGTGTAAATATAAGCGTTGGGAAGGGTAGCTGAACAGTTGAAGAAACCTAGGACAAAAAAGGGGTAAGTAAGGAGTGAAAAGACAGGAGCATACGAGTTTGCTATACGATTGGTATACTAAACAGTTTAAGTATCGCATATATTCACTGTGCGTGATAAGATTTGGATGGTGGAAGGACTGACAATGCAGAAGGCATTGTATGTCTCTAGGTGCTGAACGTAGTGTAGTGTGGATAGTCTTGGATAGTCTTCTCTGGTAGCGTGAATAGCCCTGGGTTATTGAAAGCAAGAGGACTCTCTGAAAGTAATGGAGGAGGAAGGGTACACCAGGACATGCTTGAATGTTTTGTAGTTTGAATCACCTGAAGAGGCTGGTGCATCACCACTGTTGTCTTAAATGCTTGAGAGAGAAGAAAGAAAAAAAACAGTGGATTGTTTGGAGCAGATGTTAACACAGTTATTTGATCGTTAAATGGGCCGTATAAACTCAAAGAGATTAAAGACAATAACCTTTCTCCAGGTTGAACGAAATTTTGTTAATTGTTTCAAGGAAGTTAGATTGTCAAAGTAGATGGATATTTCATTTGCTTTGGTAATCCATCAAAACATACTTGACATTGTGGTTGCTTTTATTTTTCAGTATCATCATTTTAGCAGGGAGAAAAAAGTTAGTTCTGTCCTTAGATTGTTCTGGATCATTCCATTAGCTGACTACTGCAACTGTCAACAAAATTTCTGCCTTAAGATGTTTTCCTCACTTTAGTCTATAAATGAAATTGAGGTCATCTCTGTGAAATGTCACTGCTCTGTCTTGTGTGATGTGTACAGTGTGTCAGATTACACTTTGCAATATGATCAGGAAATTGTCAGAAAACCTGAATGTGTGCTTTAGTGTATCATTAGTTCATTCAGATCAATTGCTGCTGCTGCCAATACCTGTTTTTATATAGTGCTTGGATATCTGTAGAAGACAATCACTTTATAGAGAAGGGTTAATAAGCTTATTCCTGGTTTAAGATGGGGAACGCTAGTGTAGAGGAGGGAGACTCCTTGGTCACAGTCACTCACAGAATCAGTGGCAGAGCTAGGGTTAGAATGTGCATCTCTGTTAAGCCATTATTAAGTGAAGGGTTCTTAAAAGTAGTGTGGTATTGGGAGGGGAGACTATGTTTTGCATTAAATACAACTAATATTTTCTTTTTAATAAGAACGTGGCATAAACTATGAAAAAGATTTGTCTCAATATGTGGAATTGTCTCTATCAGGATTTTTATTATCCCTAGTAAAGAAAATAGATTGCTTTCTGCCATTGTCTGTTTAGCCAGCTGTAAGCTCTTATTGGACAGATTGCATGGTATGCTAATTAATGATATAGGCTGTGGGTGATTAGCCAAGCATGTAATGAGGTCCAGTGTATTATAGAAATGCCATTGATCAATATAACCACACAGTCTGTAGTGTCGGCCGCGAAGTAAATTTAAACTAGTGGGGAAAAGTAGTGTAGCCCCCGAAGCGCTGCTGCAGTGCTGCACAGCTATGCTTACTTTGAGAGGAGGCTTAAATTTAGTCTAAGGATTTGAAGGTTTGGTGGGGTTTTTTTTCCCTTGATACCTTTCTCACTGTGATTATGGGCAGGAGGTAGAATAGCTTGATGAATCCTGACAAACAGCATGCTGTTTGTCTTATAAAATGTTACTAGATCAAGCTGTCATATGTCAAAGACTGTATATGCTACTTTTGTAGCTGAATATAATTTTTTTCATATAAAATCAGCACTGGTTACTTTCCTTTTTAGAGAATGCTGAAAATATGTAATATGTTTATGACTTTCATTTCACATTTTTAATTCAGTAATTCTTCTATAGGAATGTTTTTTTTCATACTGTGTCCTGAACAGCCATCAGCATCACTGATTTGAGGCTATATAAATTCAGATTGTAGAGCAGAGTTGGTTCATAAATTTTTTTCTTATGATTTTTTTCTAGAGCAATAACATGAGGTAATTAATTTGCTTATTATTACTACTCTATTAAAATTTCTGTAAATATATCTTTCTAATTTATAGGTAGTAGCTCGATTCCAAATTTCTTTCACATCATGAAGCGACAGTTTACTGAAACAGAGTGGGATGTAATCAAGTCTATGAGTAATGAATGGATGCAGCTGGATATGTTTCATCGGCACTGGGTAATAGTTTTTTTCTATGTAAGGACTGCAATGCTATAACCTGCATTTGCTCTTCTGATATATTTTGTTATTATTTTCATTATGGTAAAATTGTATACTCTTTATAGTTACACATTCATGTGGAGATAATATTTTAATGGATTTTATATTTAGTGTTTGGGTTTTTTTAATGTCAGAGTAACTTTGAGAACCATAGTACAGATGACATTTCTAGGAGAATTTATGACTAGTGTTAAACACATACCCAGAACAAGGTAAATGGTTCATATCTGTATGTGCCAGTAGGTAATTCTGGTTCCATGTTCACTATAATGAAGCAATTTAGGCTAGGTATTAACAATGCTGATAACTTTTTCTCTTGGTAATTGTATCAGCCTTACACTACTGTAAATGTAAGTCTTAAATTTATTTGGTCCACAGTGTCTGCTCAGAAGTAACATTTATAGAAAAGTTTGAAAACTGCTAGTATGAATAAAATACATTTATTCTGTGTTTTAGGCCTTAAAGGAAAGCTTCTTAAAGGCTATTGGAGTCGGAATTGGCTTTAACTTGCAAAGAATTGAATTTAATGTTTCCCCATTGCAACTGGAAATAGGGAAGGTGTATAAGGAGACAAAAATGCTTCTGGATGGAGATCAAGAAGAAGAGTGGACATTTGAGGTAAGAAATATTCAAATTTATTTTTTCAAAAATTATAAACAGTTTCAACACCCTATGGTTGCATGGCACATTTGATACTTTTAATTCCAGCTTCACACCTTTGTTCTGTATAACCACATTGAACATACATAAATCAAAACAGATTTAAATCTGCAGCATTTTAAAGTATTTTTGATGATTGCAAAAACACCCCAGAGATATCTTCATTATAATGGCTATTTATTTTTTCTGTTCCTGGAGTATATTTTTTGCACTCTATGAAATTCTTCCTAGGGCATGCAGGAAGTTCACTGAAGCAGACACTGTTCAGAAATTAGGTCTGAATATAAGATTTTAAAGTTCTTCATTAGTTGGTCTAGAATGGGACTAGTGATTAACTAACTCTATTAGTTAGTGTTTATATTAAATGTTAGAAATGGAAGATGTGTCTTCAGGTCCTTTTGGCTTTCTTAATTCTTGCCCATAGAAGCTGGTAGAAACGTGCTTTTGTGGGTTTGGAGTTCTGGTGTGCTGATTGGCTGCTGTCTGTTGGGATGGAGAGGTGCAAAAAACTTGCCTCTGCTCAATTGGAACATTAGTTTGGGCTCAATGTTCTATCTGAGTGTTGGGTTTTTGGTTTTTGTTTGGTTTTCCTTCTTGAAAGTTATTGAGAGTTGTCACTAAAACATCTATCCTGTTAGATTTGTTGGGAAATGATCAATAGCATCTACTGTAGTTTAAAGGTGTCCTGGTTTCATCTGGGATAGAGTTAATTTCTTCATAGAAGCTAGTATGAGGCTATGTTTTGGATTTGGGATGAGAAGATGTTGATAATGTACTGGTATTTTGGGTTGTTGCTAAGCAGTCAAGGACTGTCCAGCTTCTCATGCTGGCTCGCCAGCGAGAAGTCTGGCGATGCACGGGAAGCTAGCGGGGGACACAGCCAGGACAGCTGACCCAGGCTGGCCAAAGGGATATTCCATACTACATGATGCTCGGTATATAAAGTTGTGACAAAGAAGAAGAGGTGGAGGGGACGTTCGGGGTTATGGTGTCCATCTTCCCAAGTAACTGTAATGCATGATGGAGCCCTGCTTCCCTGGACATGGCTGAACACCTGCCTGCTGATGGGAAGTAGTGAAAGAATTCCCTGTTTTGCTCTGCTTGTGTGCATGGCTTTGCTTTACCTATTAAACTGTCTTCATCTCAACCCATGAGTTTTCTAAGTTTTACCCTCCCAGGTCTCTCCCCTGTTCCACTGTGGGGTAGTGAGCGACTGGCTGTGTGGTGCTTAGTTGCTGCCTGGGGTTAAACCACGACAAAACGATATAGAGAGAAAGAACTGATAGGGCCATGGTTTAGTGGGTGGACTTGGTAGTGTTAGGCTAACGGTTGGACTTGATGGTCTTAAGACTCTCTTCCAACCTCAATGATTCTAGTCATAGTGCCTGGAGGCACTTTCCGTCAGCCACTTAAAGGAAGAAATTCAAAAGGCATTGTGACTTTAAAATTGTCTGTAAAGCATACCTTGTTCCAGTCTGTCATAAGTTTGTGCAGCTGGTATGTACCTGGCTAGCAATTCAAAGAACACACACTTTGCAATTTCACAAAATAGTCAAGCATGCTTTTCAGTAGGAGTATTCAGTTTCCAATATGCATTTACATTTTGAAAATACCTACAGTGTGGGACGCAACTGTTCCAGTAGAGCTTGTCTAAATGACAAATTTCTGCTGTATGCTTGTTTTGTGTTATATACGAACTACATGTATGGTACACATGTAGTAAAAAAGAATGAATGTGCCAGTAACATTCAACTTGTAGCATGTTGACCTCTTTTTTTTTTTTTTCCACAGTTCATTCCTTTCAGCAATTCTAGCCAAATTTGGTGTTGTGTTATTTTAGAAGTATACCCACACCTAAATCAGCCCCCTTACTGATACTGCCATACTGTCTAGGAATTGAGTATGTAATGAAAGTCACTAGTTGGTATTATAGACTGGCAAAATAAAATCTTAGGAAAGACTGTGACACATCTTCTACTGGAATATTTTCTGTATTAATGCTAACAGTGTACCATTGTCAAGGAAGCATCTACCTCTTTTGATTGACTTCTGGAGCTCCGAATTTTGGTCTTTGACATGCCAGTGGTTGATTGACTAAAATAGCCTGAAGATAATGAGCTAGATAGCTCCCTGTGTTACTTAAATGCTTTATAATTGTTTGATTTTTCCTTATTACTTAGTAATTACTGCTAGAAGCTTAGTTTAATTTTTGTCTGAGGAATGTCTCCTCTTCCATGCTTGCCCTCCCGCTTCCCAAGAGCGCAGCCTTATAACGAGGCAGACTGCAGTATTTCAAAGAAATGATTTATTATCAAGTTTCGTTTAAATACAAGCTCAATTGGGATATAATTTCATTTAAATACCAACTTTTATTGAAATAAGATTAAAAAAATAGTTTTTCAGTTACCAATCCCCAGCCTAAAATTAAACATCACTTTACTTTTTTGTCTTCTCCCAAGTTTCTTTTAATTTTGTGCCCATTTTCTTTTTTAAAAAAGTCTTTTCTTTTTTCATTATTTACCCTTGAGACAAATTCCTGAAACAGCTTGTTAACTGAAAACACTAATTTTGAGAAATCTGGAAGACTCACCCAAGAGAAGGCATTAAGAATCACCTGTAAGACTGCATATTACTGGGATAGTATTTTCCTTGTGTTCCCTGTTGTGCTGAGTTTGCCTGAGTGAACTTTTTCTGTCAAATAAAAAAATCTAATGACCTCACTTTTACTTTTCAAATCTGCTTATATCTTTATGATAGGAGATGATCAAAGAGAGCAAGGCTGTTTAAAATCCAATTGTCACATATTTTGGATTGTCTTATTTCAGTTTTTAGAGAGAATCTAATTTATAAAAAACAGAAGAGAGAAATAAAGGGGGGTTTGCCTATTTAAATTACACAAAATATTCTGAAATCTCCTTCAGAAAGTACCATGCAATATGAAAAAAGCAACTTAAAAGCATAAAGAGTAGAAAAAGATCTACCACCTTATACTTGTCATGACTAAAAGGTCAAGAGAAGTACTAGTGAATCAGAGCAAATATATGTTGGCACTGTTCAGACACCCTGTAAGTCTTCACAAGAAGAGCAAAGCCTGTTCGTATTGGAGATAGAATTTTCTGTGAACATTGAAAGAAAAATAATTTTCTGTTATTTCATTGTAAATACCAAATGAACTACCTTGTGTAGTTGACTGTTTGCAGTCCCTTTACCAAGGGTGTAGTTTTCTTCGAAGTGTCTTTCCTCTTCTCCACTCCTCCATATATTTTTGAGCTTGGGTAGAAGGCAGTAGCTCAGAAACAGCCTCTTGTTTGATCTTGATGGATCGATTTAGCTTCAGGCACTTGTTTTCATATAGTACTCTAGAGATTGGTACTCGAATTCCCTCCAACTGTTTTGGAAGGAGTAGGGGAAAAAAAATACAGTAAAACTTCATTTAAAACCACAAATTTAAATTTAATCTATGTCTGCTATGTGTGTTAAATATGCTTTATTCATGTACACAGTGCACACTTTCCTCATTTAGAAAAGGTGAATTTCTTTAGTAATAATTAAAAGTTAGTGAGTTAATAATTAGAAGTTAGCCCCTAGTGAGAAGTGGGCTAGTATTTGTGTCAGGATGTTAATTTTGGATGGAGTCATTGTTCTGATGATGATTATTATTATGGGTAATTCTATATGCTCCATTTGCTTCCTTTGAAGAAAATAAACTTACAGAATGAAGTACTAGTTCATTTTAATAAAAGTGAAGGAAGTTGATCAATAACAATTATGACAAGTTTTATAATTTAAAGGGATAAACATAAGCTTATAGTATGTATCTGTAGCAGATCTGATATGTGGGGGGAAGAAAAATCCTAATTACTGATTTGCAAATTGTTAAGTGTATTCATGAATCTTTCCTTATGGATACCAGTTTTGTACAGTTAATCAGGAAGAATGGCTGGATAGCACTTATTGGAATCTGTATTAAAGAAGAATCATAAATGAGACATAAGACACTTCTGGTTTGGTCCTTACCTCAATTTTGGATACAGCCAGTTTATAAAGGAAGCACCCAATTTATCCTAAACCTTACCCAGGGATTAAGAATCACCTGGCATCACTGCTGTTACACAAATAATTGTTTGCATTTTTTCACAACAAATATTTGCTTGGTTTGTCTATATGCAAATACATTACTTACAGAATATGAAATTCAAACTGAGATTACCTGGGTCAATTTGGAACATACTTAGTAATCGTTGTTGGTATGCAACTGTAATGGAGTCTTTCCGTAAGAGATGTTAATCCTGTTGTATTGCCAGGAGTAAATAGGAGTGAAAACTTTTATTTCTAAGATTAGCTAATCCAACTGGATTCACACAGCAATGAGTTCTGCTGTCTGGGACGGTACAGTTTCCTTGTAAGCTGTCTGTTGCTGAGTGAATCCAGAATGCTTTGAATCCCAGACACATCATTCTGCTGAGCCTTTGAAATTAGGTCATTATAAGTCTCTGTGTGCCTGTAGGTTGAACAGTGCTAGTAATATTCTGGTTCTGTGTAGAGAAAAACAAATTTTGATCTGTTATATGTTTTCTGGTTTATAGAGAGGAATCTTAACAAAACAAATGCTTTACCTCAGAGGAATTCTGTATGGTTGTCGTTGTGCTCTTTTTGTTTAATAATCTATTTCCATTTGAGAAGTTAGATTTATTTTATAAGCTGGTATAGCAATATCTCCAGGTGAACAGGGAAACAAGCCGATTCGCTGTTTTTTGTGTTTCATTAACTTCGTACCTTAAGTTTTTTGCTGGCCTCTAGTAAGGGCCAGGAAAGATCTCCTTCCTTTCTGTATTTGGCTTGGAGTTACGTTCCTGTGAAGCAGCAAAGATGGAGGGCATAGTTTGTTGTCTTTTATTGTAAAATGCTGAAAACTCTTTTGTGACCACAGAGGATCCGTGAATTAAATGAGTGGAACCTTCTGAATTCATTAACCACTGGGCAGGGTTTCTGCAGGGGAATGATCCCCATTATCTGAAGAGTTACTGCCTGTTAAATGCAGCTTTAAGCTGACAAAAAAAATGTTTTATTAACAATATGTAAAAGACTTAATCTATAATATGTTTTTAGTTGCACAAGCAAGAAGTAATACATCAGTTCACTTGACGAAATAAACTTCTGTGCATTTAGCTTAAAGCTGTAATGCAGTTGTTTGCAGACTAATGACTACAGATGTGGGCCACTGCTGAATGTGCTGTAGTGTGTCCTCTGTTCTGATAAGTCTTTAATCTCTTGCACATGCAAAAAATGAAAGAAAGGGAGAAAATGAAGCGATGGTAAACCTAGATGTAATCATTTTTCCATCTAGACAAACTGAAAACACTTCCACCCTAGAACTATATAAATCATTTAGCATCACTTGATCAAACATCTAATTTTCATAGTCTTTATTTTTGAGGAGGTTATAGAAATGAATCATAGAATGGTTTGTGTTGGAAGGGACCTTAAAAATCATCTAGTTCTAAGCCCCTTGCCAGGGGCAGGGACACCTTCCACTACTAGAGCAGGCCTTGAACACTTCTAGGGATGGAGCATCCACAGCTTCTCCGGGCAACCTGTTCCAGTGCCTCACCACCCTCAGAGTGAAGAATTTCTTCTGCATATCTAATCTAAATCTGCCCTCCTGCAGTTTAAAGGCATTACCCCTTGTCCCACCACTACATGCTCTTGTAAAGTGCGTGTGATGTGTACAAATGGTTAGATTTCATCAAACCTGAGGTAGCATTCTTTATGGATGACTTATTTTCAGTCTTGCACCCTGGTAAAGGGATGGAGAACCTAGTAAAACAGTTCATAGTAAGTACACCTATAGCTCTTGCGGTTGTGGGAAATACCACTTACACTGCAGATTTGTTAATGTTTCTCATGTGAATATTTCTTATGCAAATATTTCTCCTAATCTAGACAAAATTGAAGTTGTCATTTTCTTACTAGTGCTTTACAGAAAGGTAAAACAACATGAGCTTGATGTTTTGTTTTTAAGTAGGTGAGGGATACAAAATTCTCTCCTAAATCTGTCAAATAAGCACAGTTTTGGTACTGAAGAGATCAAAGTAAAAACACAGTTCTACTCCCACACCAGCACTATCTGCCAAGACACCCAAATCTGTGCCAGTAAAGTCTCCCAACCTTATAGTTGTACTGCTGCTACACATGACTATAGCATCTGCTGTCTGGGCTGAGCTGGGTTGAGTGGATCTGAGCTGAGCATCTTGGCACTTTCTTTATATACAGGGCTGTTTGCAAATCACAGAAATGGTATCCTTGCAACTGAAACCTTTGAAAATCCTATAATAGTAGATGAACTGTAGAGAAGCTTAATGCAGACTGACAGCATTGTTTTAAAAGACATTTTGCTTACATTAAAAGGGAGAGGGGAAGGTAACCAACAGCCTGTCAGAGGAAATAGGACATCATGATGCTTGCTTTATATTCTAATACAGTGCAGTTAGAGTATTTCCCAAGGAAGTGGAACTTGGAGGTTCAGTCATACCTCCTAGGAGAATATCCAGACTATTAGCTCGTATCTGAAATGTTCAATTTTTCTAGGTCAAATTCTTGTTATTCTTGATTTCCATTTCAGAAAGCTTGTGCAGAAATTATGTGAAAAATTTTGGATAAAGAAGCAAGGAAAACAGTATTTTCTCCCTCACCTTTTTTTTTATATATATATGCCAAAAGGATTATGACTTTACTATAGAATAAACATTATTCAGAAACAGTATATAAAAGTGTTTTTTTTCTGAAATTAATTGTTTGGGATGAATTCTTAGCCTTTCTAGAGGAAAGCACTTTTAAACGAAACTATTAAATAGATAACCTATATTACTAAATGTATAGTTACATATCTAAAAATGTTTCTTGAGGAAAATTGATTTGTACTTACACAGAGTAGTGCTCAGACTGCATGTCAGAAATTTGAAGTTGTGATCTTAAATGCTGTCTGAAGCCAAGAGTGAGAGAGTCACTGGTTTAAGTTTGCACTTACGTTGTTTTTCAGCATACCTCCCAGAAGTTCACAGTTCATCTCATTGGAAAACAGATAGCTAAGATGAACAGTTATATGGCTTGTGACTTAGGAGGGACTGGTAAAAGAATGCTAAGGTCACAAAATTGAATATAAATATCTACAAATGGGTGTGATAATGGTAACCTATAGTAACCAGTTCAGCCCTGCTAACTTTTTAATGTATCTGCATCCTTGAACTCTCCAACGAAACTGCTAAAAAGGACTACTTTTTAAGTTATGTTTTGGTGGTGTTGTGAACCATATTTTAAACATTTATATAGTCTTTGCTGGAAACAGAGTAAAGAAAATGCATTTACATTGCCATTTTTTATCTTTACTAGGAAACCCGGTTAGATGACCGTCATCATGTTGCAGTGGCTCTTGGGAAGCAGGAGGGATTTGGACAGAATCATTCTGATGTAAGAAATTGTGAAATGTTTTCAGGCCTTGGTAACTAATCACTTGAATATAACCGTCGTCTGATGTTGTAGCTAAAAGTGCATTATCTCAGATGCAGGGCTGAGGAGAAAGCTTATTTTAAGCACAGAATTAACCAGATTGTTACTGAACTGTGACTTGTCATTCTGTTGTGCCTGTTTTAGGAAAGGTCTGGGAAGGAGAAACGGGTTTCAGAGGACAGCAACAGTTAGTGTCAAATCTGTAATGTCTGTGTTACAGCATTCAATGTGTTCATTCAAGAGAAGATTAAGTGATTAAGTCTGAGTCAGTGATCACGGATAACACAGAGGCAGATCTTTTAACTAGTATTGGTTAGATTAAAAAAAGAGGTATAAACTACCTTTGAGGATTTACTATGGTAAATCAGTGCTCAAATATTCTCTAACAAAATATGTGTGTTCTGTTTGACAGGACATGCTTGATTCCTAGTGGGGCTGCATATCATCTTTCCTACAGGAATATTGATAAATGTGTCTCAGGTGAAAAGGTGGCCATTATTTTTAAAGACAATTACCTAAGTATTCTACAAAAATCCAGGATTTTTAAGTACTGACCTTCACCTGTCATACACCTTAAAATTATCATAGAAAGAATAGTCATGGTATCAAGAGTTGTAATAAAAAGTCTTTGAATCAAGAAAAGTCTCAAATGCATACTTGTCCACTGACTAAATTTGTGGTGACCTAAATTTCATTAGCTTGATTCACTGAAAAAAGGTAATTTTAAATAGGACAAGTGAGCATTCTGTGTCTCTCCAATATGGAAATGAAGTAAAAATTTCTGTACTGTCGTATTGTGCCTTTTCAGGACTCCTAATGGGAATGTGGAAAAAATGAAAGTGGCCTTCTCCCTTTCTAACAGAACTGTAAAAAAGGATTCTATGTATTGCTAGGTGTGTTGAGGGGAAAAGGTGTTCTTCATATTAGTTTTAAAAAAATTGATTATGTAGACATTATGCTATTGCTTCAGAATACCAATGCTTGTCTCTGTTCCCTCTCTGCTATCACAGGAGTGATTCATTATGTCCTGTTTGCAGAACATGTCCTTTCAGCAAGCTTTCTTCCCAACCTGATAGCAAGTACCTACAATTCACAGGAAAGACCAATTGATACATTGAAGTACTATAATTTAAATTCTCCAGTGTCAAGAATCTTAACAAAATGTCTACTAATGATTGCTGTTATGCTTGAAGAGAGAGAACATTTATCTGCACTCTTAGCTAGACCTAGGCAGTTATCTGAGGCAGGTCTCAATGAAAGCTGGCTGAGTTTATAATTCCGATGCCAGCTATAAAATAACTTTTCACCTATTACTTGCTAAAGTTCACAGGACTTGTGATGAATTCAGAACACTCTTGTCTTCAGAGAAGCATTTGCTGAAGTTCAAACTAGATCTTTTAACAATTTACTTAGCTCTGAGGCTTAGTTCATATTTGGTATGCATATCTGATATCACTTGCATGGCTCTAGGCACAGTTCCTGCAGCTTTACCTCACGTACAGAATGCCAGATGAACAGGAATGTCTCAACCATGTCACTTGTGTGAGGATATAAAGTGATAGGCAGCTCAATTAACTTTTGATTTCAGTCTGCGTTGGACAACTTTGAGTTTTGCTGTGCTGTTACAACAAACACAAACCATTTTGTTGTTTCTCCATTTGTTCTTCACAGTAGCTTACCGCTCAAACACTGAAACAGAGAATAGACATTTTTTCTCTTTTACCTATTTACTGACCTGCCTTCACTGATGTGATGGGAAGGGATAACAAAATCAACAAAATGGGCCGTAGGCAGCATCACCTCCAGCACTTGCATGTAAGCAAGCAAATGCCTACAAGGCACTATTATGGACAGGTCCTCCAAATCCTCTCCAGGAACTTGACATGATGGGGTGCCTCTCTGAAGTGCCTGTACACTACCGCACACAGTATGGGCAGTAAACATGATGGGTTAGAGATCTGTGTGAATTTACAGGGCTGCGATCTTGTTGGGATCATGGACATGTTGTGGGATGGCTCCAATGGTGAGAGTGTTGCGATCAAGGGGTACAGGCTCTTTAGGAAAGATAGGCTGGGAAGGTGAGGAGGGGGAGTTGCCCTTTCTGTGAGAGAGCAGCTGGAGTGCATGAAGCTCTGCCTGGGGATGGATGAGGAGGCAGCTGAGAGTTTGTGTTAGGATTAAAGAGAGAAAAGTCAAGGTGACATTACAGTGTGTTTCTGGTATACACACTGAACAGAAATTTAATCAGGCCTTCTACAGATAGGTAGAAGCAGCCTCCCTTTCGCAGGTACTGATCCTCGTGGGGGAGTTGAACCACCCCAATATCTGCTGGAGAGACACAGCAGGACATAAGGAATTCAGGAGGCTCCTGGAGTCCATTGATGACAACTTACTCCCTCAAGTGATGGAGGAGCCCATGAGGAGAAGTGTTATCATGGTTTAATCCCAACCTGTAATTAAGCACCACACAGCAACTTGCTCACTCCCCCCTGGTGGGATGGGTGAGAGAATCAGAACAGTAAAAGTGAGAGAACTCGTGGGTTGAGATAAAGACAGTTTAAGAAGTAAAGCAAAAGCCACATGTACCAGCAAAGCAAAGCAAGCAATTCATTCACTACTTCCCAATGTTCAACCATCTCCAGGAAAGCAGGGCTCCATCACATGTAACGGTTACTTGGGAAAACAAATGCCATAACCCCAAACATACCCCCTTTCCTCCTCCTTCCCCCAGCTTTATATTCTGAGCATGACATCATATCGTATTGTGTTTGCATGGCAAGGTTTTGGTACCTGGGGGGCTTTTGTGAGAAGCTGCTAGAAGCTTCCCCTACGTCCAATAGAGCGAGATGGCTCCAAGACAGACCTGCTGCTGGCCAAAGCAGAGCCTATCAGCAACGGTAGTAGCACCCCTGGAAATAACAGATTTTACGAAGAGGGAAGAAAAAATGGCAACAGCAATTACAGCTGGAGAAAGGAGTGAGTATATGTGAGAGAAACAACTCTGCAGACACCAAGGTCAGTGAAGAAGGAGGGGGAGGAGGTATTCCGGGTGCTGGAGCAGAGATTCCCCTGCAGCCCCTGGTGAAGCCCATGGTGAGGCCGGCTGTCCCATGGAGCTCCACGCTGGAGCAGATACCCTCTTACATCCCATGGAGCACCCTGTGCTGGAGCAGGTGGATGCCCAAAGGAGGCTGTGACCCTGTGGGAAGCCTGCTCTGGAGGAGGCTCCTGGCAGGACCTGTGGCCCCGGGGAGAGAAGAGTCCATGCTGGAGCAGGTTTGCTGGCAGGACTTGTGACCCCGTGGGGGACCCATGCTGGAGCAGTCTGTTCCTGAAGGACTGCGCCCCATGGAAGGGACCCAGGCTGGAGCAGTTTGTGAAGAACTGAAGCCCATGGGAAGGACTCATGTTGGAGAAGTTCATGGAGAACTGCCTTCTGTGGGAGGGACCCCACACTGGAGCAGGGGCAGAGTGTGAGGAGTCCTCTCACTGCGGAGGAAGGAGCTGCAGAATCAACTGATCTCAACCTCCATTCACGGTCCCCCTGTTTGGCTTGGGAGAAGGAGGTAGAAAATTGGGAGTGAAGTTGAGCCCAGGAAGAAGGGAGGGGTGGGGGGAAGGAGTTTTAAGATTTGGGTTTCGTTTTCATTACCCTACTCTAATTTAATTCATTGCCAATCAAATTAATTTCCCCAAGTCTAGTCTGTTTTGCTTGTGATGGTAATTGCTGACTGATTTCTCCCTGTCCTTATCTTGACCCACAAGCTTCTCATTATACTTTCTCTTCCTTGTCCAGCTGAGAAAGGGAGTGATAGAGTGGCTTTGGTGGGCACTGGGCATCTTGCCAAGGTCGACCCACCACAGGTATGGAATATCCTTTTGGTCAGTTGGGGTCAGCTGTCCCAGCTGTGTCCCCTCCCTATTTCTGGTGCGCACCTAGCCTACTTACTGGTGGGGTGGGGTGAGAAGCAGAAAAGGCCTTGGCTTGGTGTAAGCACTGCTCAGCAATGACGAAAACACCCCTCTATTATCAACACTGTTTTCATCACAAATCCAAAACATAGCCACATACTAGCTACTATGAAGAAAATTAACTCTATCCCAGCCAAAACCAGCACAGGTGCTCTGCTGGACCTCATATTTGCCAATGAGGAGGGGCTTTGGGGATATGAGGGTCAAAGGCAGCCTTGGCTACAGCGAACATGAGATTGTGGAGTTCAGCATTCTACGGGCAGGGAGGAGGGCTCGCAACCCTGGACTTGAGGAGAGCAGACTTTGGCCTCCTCAGATATTTGCTTGGAAGAGTCCTGTGGTATAAGGTCTTGGAGGGAAGCGGGGCTTAAGAGAGCTGGTTAATATTCAAGGATCGCCTCCTCCAAGCTCAAGAGAGTTCTATCCCAAAGAATAAGAAGTTAGGCAAAAATGCTAGGAGGCCTGCATGGATGAACAAAGAGATCCTAGCCAAATTCAAATGCAAAAAGGAAGCATGCAGAGGGTGGAAGCAAGCATGGGTAACCTGAGAGGAATACAGAAACATTGTCTGAGTATCCAAGGATGAAGTTAGGAAAGCTAAAGCCCAAATGGAATTAAATCCAACCAGGGACATAAACACAACAAGAAAGGCTTCTGTAAGTACACAGGTGACAAAAGGACAACTAGGGAAAATATGAGCCCTTTGCTCAATGAGGCAGAGGCCCTGACTACACAGGACACGGAAAAGGCTGAGGTACTGAATGCCACCTTTGCCTCAGTCTTTACTAGCATGACCAGCCTTCAGAAATCACAGGTCCCAGAGACCAGAGGGGAAGGAGCAAGGAAGATTTACCTTTCGTGGAAGAGGGTCAGGTCATGGAATACTTAGGCAAAATGGACATATGTAAGTCCATGGGCCCACATGGGATGCACCTGCAAGTGCTAAGGGAGCTGGCAGATGTCATTGAGAAGACACTCTCAATAATCTTTGGTTGATCATGGTGATGGGGAGAAGTGCTCAAAGACTGGAGGAAAGCACATGTCACTCATCTTCAAGAAAGAGGACCCAGGGAATTACAGGCCCATCAGCCTCACCTCAATGTCTGGAAAGGTAGTAGAGCAGCTAATTCTGGAAACCACTTCGAGGCACATCAAGGACTAGAAATTACTAGCCTGGTAGATGAGGGGAGAGCAGTGGATATTGTCTGCCTGGAGTTCAGTACCTTCTGCCTCTGACACTGTGTCTCATAAGATTCTCTTAGAGAAACTGTTGATGTATGGGCTGGATAAGCAGACAGTAAGGTGCACTGAAAACTGTTTGAATGGTTGGGCCCAGAGGGTGGCGATCAGTGGCATGAAGTCTGGCTGGACCCAGTAACGCAGTGTACCCTAGGGATTGTAACTAGGTCCAGTCTGGTTTAACATCTTCATTAATGATCTGGATGGTGGGGCAGTGTACCCTCAGCAGGTTTGCCAATGACACAAAACTGGGAGGAGAGGCTGATATGTCAGGAGGTTGTGCTGCCATTCAGAGAGACCTCAACAGGCTGAAGAAATGGGCCAACAGGAACCTCATAAAGTTCAACAAAGTCCTGCACCTAGGGAGGAGCAACCCCAGGCACCAGTATATGCAGGTGGCCACCCAGCTGGAAAGCTGCTTTGCATAAAAGGCACTGAGGTTCCTGGTTAACACCAGATTGCTGGTTCATGTTCAATGTGGCCTTACAGCAAAGAAGGCTGATGGTATCCTGGGCTGCATTAGATAAAGTGTTGCCAGCAGGTCGAGGGAGGTGATCTTTGCCCTTTACTCAGCACTGGTAAGGCCTCACAGCGAAGGGCCACAAAGATGATTAAGGGATGGGAATGTCTCTGCTATGAGGAAAGGCTGAGAGAGCTGTGACTGTTCAGCCTGGAGAAGAGAAGACGCGGGGAGATCTTAGTAATATGTCTAAATACCTGAAGGGAGGGTGCAAACTGGATAGAGCCAGGCTTTTTTCATTGGGGCCCAGTTACAGGACCAGAAGCATTGGGCACAAGCTGAAAGACAGGAGGTTCCCTCTGAACATCAGGAAACACATTTTTTTCACTGTGAGGGTGACTGAGATTGCCCAGGGAGGTTGTGGAGCCTCCATCCTTGGTGATATTCAAAAGCTGCCTGGATGTGGTCCTGGGCAGCTGGCTCTAGGTGGCCCTGCTTGAGCAGGGCTGCTGGACCAGATGACCTCCAGAGCTCCCTTCCAATCTCAGCCATTCTGTGATTACCAGACATCAGTATTTGATCCCCCAGAGCCGTACCTTAGCATGCATCAAAAATATGTCAGTGTGTGTGATAGAGAGTAACCCCACTGCAGACTAGCCCTGCTGAATTCTATTAAATATTAAACGTTAAGGATATGTTGGATTTTGCTGGAACAAATGCCAAATTTAGAAGGATCAGCTATATTCATGTTTGATTCATGCGGGTGTACTAATGGCCTGCTGGTTGGAAAGAATTACACTTGCAGATACCATACAGCAGGCTGCACAGTAATGTGCTTTTTTCTTTGAAATGTGTTTTTTCTTGAAGTGATGGATCTGCCAGCGAGACCATGAAACTCTCATCTGCAGTATTTCAGTCTGCAGTTAATCTGTATTTAACACTGGGAATTGTGGGTTGATGTGACCTCTTTTGTCCTTAAATAGCATGAGTTTGAGAGAAGCATGCACAATCCCAGTGATTGCTGGTATTAAAAAAGAGTATGAACAGGCACACTTCTAGTGGAATAAATACTCATGCTATCATATCAAATAATTATGTCTGCTGGAAAAAGAAGTACAGTTTGTTTGGGTTTGTTGATGGGTTTTTTCTTTCAGACTTAAACACTCATTCTGTGGTGTTTGCATCATTGTCTATCCCTCATTCTTTCATTTTTCTGAATTGAGTTTCAAAGGAAAACTTGCTTTTTCTATGTGGCCTGTTACATGCTTCTATTACTTACTGTATAGCCTAAAATAAGGACAGTGACATTGGTCTCAATTGGAATATTTTCTTTCTTCTTCAGTAAGCAATGTGTAGTTTAAAGGACAGGGAATATTGCAGGAAGAAATTGAGATTTATTGATTCATGTAATACTAATATGTACTTTCCTTAGGTACATTCCACGGAGCCTAACCATCCACAGTTTACATTATTGACTTTTGAAGAATTAGTTGCATCTGGCATTCCAGTCGCACCTGAAGATTCTGCATATTGGGATAATTTTTGTTCTAAGGAGGAGAGTCCAGTGAAACAGAATTCACATTCAAGAGAAAAATGCTTATAAAGAAAAAAAAATTGTCAAAGTTTTTATGCTGTTACTCTTCGTAATTCAGAGCGTGGGAATAAGTGCACCTGTGTAAATGAAACATATTTTTTCTTATTTAAACAGTCTGATTTTCACCTTTTTAAAATTGACATTCTTTATCGATATCTTAAGGAAGATGTGTGTTTCCTCCACTTTTCCTCCAAGTGAAAAGTCTAAGCTGGCCACATGTTTCTTTGCTTCTCCATGCCTGTGGTTTTTACATTTCAGTAATTACCCATGCTAGGAACAGGAAGCAGAGCTACAATACTGTTGATTAGTCAACAAGTTTTTAATATATAAAAATGTGTTTCCATACTGTATTTATGCTGAAGCTTGAATTATGATACTGCTTTTTCTCTTACAAAGGTAATAGTTTTATTCTCAGGTGGATAAATAAAGCCAGAAGAATTGGTACAAATCCTTTTGCTGTTACTATATGGTGCAAGTGTTTGTACAACACTTTGAATTTGTGTAATAGCAGGCTGAAGAAGTCTGAATCCTAGTAGTCTTGGAACTACATCTGTGCAAAACTAGTTTGAGGCAGGAAATTAACTTAGAAGTATTTCATATCCTTTTCATTTACAATCTGTGTTAATTAAAGCTTCCTGTATGTAATTTAGGATTGGCTTTTTAATGCTTCTTTTTGTATTTTTCTCTCAGCAATAGATAGGAGCCAAACAGCAGTTCAGTTTTCCTAGACTTGCACTTACATCTGTACTGTCCTAGACACTAAGTCATGGTGGGGAGTGGGGGTGCGGGGTAAGACAACAAACAAAAAACCCTGTTTACTTTTCTTTAAACAGTTTCATAACATCTGAAGACAGAATATTTTATTGTCCTACAGTGAATGAAATTTTCTGGAGAAGATTTCCAGATCTTGAGTGTACCTTTAAAAAATTTTGTATTCCTTTTCAAAACAAATCCTGTTTTGTGCCATTACTTCCTACTTTTCTTTCTAGAAGTCATAGATAAATTATGGTCCATCTAAATATAAGGAAACATACTGAACAGAATGAGTCATACTGAATGGAATGATTTTCACAACTAATAAGAGTTCATTTTGGTCCTACAGTTAAATATAGATCTTCAGGGAATTTGGGATTGTGTACAACTTGACTGCACCCTGTATTCTGACTAAAGGAGAATCTACTTGTAGTGTAACCATTGAAGCCATGCCTTATTACAAAGATACAGAAAAGGTTTAGAGAGAGAAGGGTATGAGTTTTATAATATTATACAGGCTTTTGGAGTTCTGAATACAAATATGCTTTTAAACTTTCCTGTTTCTACCAGTTCTGACTAATATTTTTGTTTCCATTTCAATGACTCTCTCATCTTGCATGCTAATTGTAGTTTTTTGTGATTTCCTTTTTTCTTCCAAAACTGCAAATCAGTGAAGCAGTGACTCTTCTCTCCAGACTCTGCAGGGGTTAAAGTAGATGCTCAGTAACTTCAAATCTGAAGTTAACAGAAATTAATGTACGAATTGTAAGTCAAGTGTGCCAGACTGTTTTTTTCCATGAAATAAAAGTTGTGGTAAATAATTGGTGTTCCGTAGGGGCAAGAAAAAGCTATTTAGTGGATATGTAATGGTATAATTTACTGGGATAGGATATTTTAAACTGATTCAGTTGACTCCGTCTTACTCTGTTCTACCTGAAGTGTATTGTAATCCCAGATGGACAAGCACATGAAGGTGCTTAAGGGCTGAGATAATTATAAGTATTGCCAGGCTGAAAAAAAAGTTTTGTTCTGTTACAGGTTTTGGAAGCCTGCAGAATAAGGAGGCCTATTCAGAGTGTGAGAGGCTGAAGAGTATTGAGCTCGATGGCTGGCTGGCTGGCTATTACCTGGTCCAGTACATGCCAGTCCTCACCAGTCACTGAGGACCCCATCAATTGCAGCTGTACCAGCCAGTTTAAATTGCCAACTTTTTTGCTGGGACAGTGAAATGAACTGCAAATATGGGGTAAGATGAATAGAGAATTTTCAGATCTAGATTTCTGGGGATACAGGAATTAATCTCATATTAGAGATGAGTTATTTTTGCCTAGTGATAGCATCTCAAAACAGAATTTTTCTCTCATTGGAAAGAGTTTAAAAAGTATTAACGTAATTGTTTATAATGTGCTTGCATGTACGTAGAGAACAAACCAATTTTGTAAAATAGAAAATTACACTTGAATTGCTTGCCAGGAATATGGTGATTTTCAGGACTATATCTAATGAGAAAGGTTAGAAAAATGAGGTTTTTTTCATTAACTTTCCATGAAATAAAAACATAGTTTTTAACAGTCCAGGCAGAATCATCTAGAAGATTGCAGTTCCCCACATTATGATTTTTTCCAATGTCTTTGATTTACACTGAGCTATTTGAGAAGTAAGATTAATTTTTTTTTTTTTTAACCTCAGGTAGCAATAAGGTTAGGTGCTGGTAATGCCTTGTGAAGAGCCACCTGAGTCAGGTTGTTTAGTGTCAGTACAAACGGACAGAATTTTTACACTTGCTTTTACCACCGTTGGAAAGAGCAGCTGTACAGTTATGGAACTGTCAGCTAAAAGCATGCTGCTGAAAGGCCAGCAAGACACTGACTCTTCATGAATGTGAATGATGCATCTTCAAGTCATCAGAACGTTTTTCTGGGCATCTGTGTACTGTTAGAGGCATGTATTGAAATGTTGCTAGTGTATACAGATAAGTTAATGTAATCTCAGAGCTCTAAGATTTTTTTTATTTCACCTTATATAAAGAATTGAGCCCTGTATCCACACATGGTCTTAACACTGGCTTCCTTGCATTTCCTCAGAATACAGTCTTAATGTCCATAGAGTGTCTCTGACATTTTTAGAAGCACAGCTCCAGCTTCCATCACTAGGTCGGGTTGCTGGCCCCATCCAGTGCAGATGAGCTGACCTTTGCTGGTCTCCCGTCGCTCTTCTATCTGCAAGAAATTTCCCAGTTATGTCTAGAAGCCCTCTGGCCTTCAGGTTTCTTCTCCAGAGCTCCATTCCTTTATCTCTTTGGTTTTCTGTATATTGCCCTAGACATGACCATACCATGTACCTATATCCTAAAGGGTAAGAAGCCGGAAAAACACAAGCTGTGCTCCGCATGAGCCTTTCCCAGCAGGGGCTGTGGCTAGGTAGTAATTTTCCCTATGGAACAGGACTGACCAGCATCCCTGTTCCTCAAAGTACAGATTTAGATCTTAGATGAGATCCACTGCTCTAGACTGCAGCTCAAACCCAGTGTTTCTGAGGGGTAGCTATTAGCAGTCTCTGACCTTAAAAATAATTTTAAAAGGTTTTAAAAAGTCTTTATCTTCAGTGAAAAGATTGTCAAAAGTCAATAAATGTTTCAGTTTGGACATAATCACGTTTAAACCTTTTTGTTTCTTGCATGAAAATCGTTAGAGTGGATTAGGAACTTCAGGGGGTAAAAAACTATGTTCAAGATAATTTGCAGCTGTGTGACAAAAGAGTGGTGCCATTTGATGTGAAAATCTGTAACTTTGAAAAGTGGATCATATGAATTCATCTTAGCCTTTCACAGTCTGTAAACCTATGCAAGATGTATGTTGTTACTATATTGTGGGATCAAATGCACAGGTGTTAATCAAATGTACTGATCTTAGACAAGAAATCGTAGAGGTAGCAGCAGTAGCATAAATATGGTTGTAATTTATATGTTACTGGAAACATACAGGTGACAGCTCACCTTTAAACAATCATCTTTACCCAAGGCATTGCAATAAAGCCATGATCTGCAAAGAAAATCAAGATAGGAAGGAAAAGATAGCTATTCAAGTGGGTATAGACCGTCTCTTTTTTGGAGCTAACAGGATTATAAGTGCTACATTCTACAAAGATGATAAGTGGTTCTTGGGCAGAATTGGTACAACCAAGCCTGAAACAATGATTCAGACTTCCCTCCTTACCTGCTGCCTAATTCTGCAGGTGGCTGGACATGCTAATTTGTGCTTCACGTTCCTCCAGAATACGGGTATTTTGTGTTGCTCTATGCTGTATAGAAAATATAGGCATGAAAATAAATTCTGAATTATTCTCAAGAGAGCCAACATTTTAAAAGTTTTGTTTTGTTTTGTTTTCCAAAAGTCACTTTTTGTAATATGTTATTCTCTTGTGCTGTACATACAGTTTTCTATGGCCAGATACTATGTATGGCCCCTATTTCTGCTAAGATTGAGTTTATTTTCTTTATTGAAATAAAAAGTGGGTTAGTTTGGGTTTGTGTTCTGATTTTGTGTTGTCTATTGATGGTTCTAGCTTTCTCAGTTATTTTTTTATCTCACTATTCTTTGGATCATTATAGACATAGGTGGGATTACTGAAACACACACTTCTTTGTTATTTCTGAAACAATTTATGGGAACACAAATCTGGATGCTCCTAGTGACATCCTTTAGATGAATCATGAAATGGTCTGGACCAGCTGTCCACTCTGTCACATTCTTATAAGACTGGCACTTCAGGATATGGTTTAGTGGGCATGGTGGTGTTGGGTTGATGGTTGGACTTGATGATCTAAAGGTCTTTTCCAACCTTAATGATTCTGTGATTCTGTGTGACTAGGTGTGTTCAAGTCTTTCTTCCAGGATGGATGCTCCCTGGTTTCTTCCTGCAATTTTAATTTAATAATGTGCAACCTAGTTTCTTGACATAACTATAACATAATGTTGGTGTATTTTACATTAGAGTAGCTCATCATTTGGTCTAAATTGCAACAGTGCGAGCTTTAATGCTTGTAGGAAGATAACGTTTTTAAATACAAGGTGTACAGTGGTATCTACATACGTAAGGGAATTTCCAAATAATTTTTTTTTAACTATGTTGTGTAACACAGGTTCCTCATGTTGTAGTAGAAGATTATTCACACAGAAAAGGCACTTCTGCTTGCACAAGGGTTCTCTTTAAAACCCTCAAAAATGTTTTAGATTGATAAGTGATGTAAACAGTAA